TGAAAGTTTCATTTTTATCATTACATTATGGAAAATAATGACCTTTATCACAATATGCTAATTTTTTGAGAAGGACCTGTATTTATGCAGAAATGTAGAAAATTATAAAGAGCTCACCAACTTTCAAGCACCACTGTATTTGTTGAAATTCTGTTCATAGATGCTTGTTTGTGAACTTTCTTTGACAAGTTAAATGGATTAGTTCCTATTTAGCAGTGATATGGTCAGACAGACCATTAACCGAAGAAAAGATTAGTTTTCAGTGATATAAAGTATTTCTAATATTAAGATGATGAAGTTACAAAAATTGTTCACTCAGCAGGAAAGTATTCTCAAACTTCCTGTATGAAAATCTCCACTAGATGGAGCCAGAGGACTAAAACCACAGATGGAAGCCACTCAATGTAAAACTGAAAGTTATTTAATGTAGATAATTTTAAGATTAATGTACAAAGTTACTGGATTATAACTATGGATTTAATTTAGTCACATTCCACCCTCTGTATAAAACAATGTATGAGCCAAAAGTCACTGAAGTGAAAGCAGAACGATACATTTTTGAGGTTTACCTGTTTAACTCTGTTTCTGTATGACCTGATAAGGCAGTTGGAATTGATTCATGTAAAGTAAACAGAACTGTTCCTGAGTGTGACGTCCTGTTCTTATCAGTGCCCAGAGATGTTCAGCTCCTGCCAGGTTTGAGGACAACTCATGATTTGGACAGGTTGTGAAGTGAGATCACTTTTACTTTGACAGAATTCCTCAGAGAACTGTCCCCTTTTGAACAAACACACAAAACTACAACAATTGCATTTCTTGCAAAAATGCAGTGTGAATGCTTATTGCTTAAGAACTTGCTGAAATACAGCTGAAGCTAGCTAAACACATGCTAAAATGGAAGAACAAGCAGAAGAAAGCAGAAAACATATATTTGCTGAAATACTGGTAGGTTTAAATAAGCAGAAATGAGCATGAAATTTAGGCAATGAACTTAAAAAACTGAAATTAGCAAAAGAATTATAGCTGAAAAGTTGCTGAAATGGCAGAAAGAAGCTTAAACTACCAGAAGGAAGTTGAATGAGCTAAAAAATAATGTGGAATCAGCTGTAAAAGCTAAAATTACCAGTAGTATAAAAACAGCTAAATAGTAGATGAAATACCAGAAAAAGCTTAAACTAGCAGAAATAAGCTGAAAGGAGCATGAAAAGCTTTAGTTAGAAGAAAGAAGTTGATTCGGAAATGTCCGCAAAAAACCTTGAATTTATCATAAAACAGCTAAAAGTTAGCTAAGAAACATGCTGCGCTGTGGTTTGAGCACAAAAAAGTGAACATTATCTGAAAAAAAAAAAGCTGAAATGAGCATAAAACAGCTGAAAAGTAGCTTTAAAAAGCTTAAATTTACAAGAAGGAAGTGGAGAGAGCACATTTTTTGCTGAGACTGAAAAATGTTGAAATGAGCAACAAAAAAAAGTGGAATTAGCATAAAAAGGCTAAATCATTGCTGAAATAGCAGAAAAGGCTGAAACAACATAACAAGCTGAAATTAGCTGAAAGAAGAAGCCCAAAAATGCAGTTAGCAGAAATAATCTGACAGAGTGCAAAGCAGCTGAAAAACAGCTGAAAGTAGCTGAAAAAAGTTTAAATTTGCACACGGAAGCTGAAAGAAGCTGAAGCAGAACAAAATGTAAAGGAGCAGTGAAAGGTTGTAAAAAGATTTAAAGATGTGAAAGATGTAAAATGAGCTCAATTCATTTTCTATGAGAAAAAAAAAAATGTCAGAAAGGTCTAAATATTTCAAAACGCTAAAGTTGCACCAATACCAAAAGTCAGAGCAGGATTGTTGTGAAAGAGCTGAACGTTTTGAAATCTGATTTGATGAAATAGCACAAAAATTGTGGAACGAGAAAGATGCTGAAAAATGTACGGAAGAAAAATGGATCACTATGAGTGAATGCTTCATGAACATTCACAAAATGTTGGAAGCATCCCCCCCCCCTCCAAAAAAATTCTAGAACCTAATTTCTATCTATAGGAAATGCTTATGTTTTAAAACCTTTCATAGAAATCATTAAATGGCTGACCTGACTGAAAATTGTTTGATTGTATACCTGGATTATTGAGCATGGACTTTGTTGTGTGTTTACAACATTTACAGACCTTGAACACATCGTGTATCCAAACGGCTCTTTTCAGCTCAAAATGGACTTTAAATCTCCTCTTCAGTTTTCATGTTCTGAAAAAGGAAAAGGGAGTTTGGGATTTGGAGTGAATGGGAGGAATACATTTTACTAATTGAAAATTACAACTCTCTGCCTGGGGAAAGGAATTTATGACTTATTTACACGTCCACTCAG